TTTTCCTTGTCTTTTCATCTCCAGAGTAATATATCATATGGTCATCAGACTCAAAATGCCCCATGCCAGTCCATCTCATCTCTCCAATACCTAATTAGTCAGTGGCAAATAATGTCATAAAGCAAAACATCTATGAATGATTGTATGAAAAACCAAGAAGATTGGTAGACTTCAGATTTTAAAAATAAATAAGAAAATGCACACACATGATGGAAAATTTTAAAAAAGGCAGTGTGAGGAATGGACTTCAGTCAAGAAGAATGGATGAGAAGAGGTGGGAGTGTGCAGATCCTTAGAGCCTCGCTTATGGTTGGAAGGGTGTGGCTTCCTGGCTAAGAACACTGTCTCAAGGAGGTGCTCCCAGGGCAGGATGAATCTTTCTGCACTGATTCCTGAAGTAGAAGGTGTCGAGAGCTGTTCTGTTTCTGTAGAAATTAGTTACTGTTGAGACTAGAGGTGTTTGGTGGCATCTTCCAGCCACCTCTTTCTTTTTCTTTTGCATTCCTCCTCTTGATAGCAATTCCCCGTCAGGTAAAACCTGAACAATCATTTCAGGCACAGGTCCAACATTCTGTGGATGCCTCCATAATTTTTTTCTTTTATATTGGTAGTGTCTTCCAAAGCAGTAATTCACTCTTAACTTGTTATTTAAACAGTACCTTGTGGAACCAGGTACCTTATCAGTAGGAAAGGGTATGTGGCAGTTTCAGTGACAAGAGATTAATCCAGCAATACCACTTTAATTATGATGACAGTTGTGTGGATCCACAGTGCATGTTCTGGTGTATTTTATGGGCTTAGTTATGACGTGATACTACACGCACCACAGACATAGATGTGGTTCTTGATGTGTGTCCTCCATGAATGAGCAGAAGGAGTGTTGGCCACAGAGAGATGAAGCTTTCTAGGCAGACAGCTCAGTATTGGGGCTTGACTACAGGTGCCTGTGCACCCACCCCCATCCGCCAGGCACCTGTTGTACAGCTTTCCTCTTACAGAGTCAAATCCCTGGAAGCCTGGCCAGGCCACATCAGGGCCCCATTAATTCTTATAAGGAATACGAACATAGGCTTTTGTGAGGGAGAACAGAGTAATCTCTCTTTCCTGTGTTTGTATCCAGCCAGGCAGGGCAGAAGAGGTTCTCAGGTGTTTCAGAGTGCCATGGGGTCTGGTTCATAGCTCAGATGTGGGCCTGTAGGGCTCAAGAAGAGATGCTTTTCATGAGCCCCTGACAAGTCTCTCCTTCCAGAGGCTGAGCACTGGAGCTGATGTGGTCTGCAACTGCATGTTCCCATAGCCTTGCTGAGAGGGCAGTTGATTCCTGCTGTCCCCAGTGTTAGCTCATTTGTGGGGCTCTTCCCAGAGGTCATTGGCACTGAGGTGTTCCTATACTTGTCTTTTTACAGGCCTCAGAAGAAATATTTCAGCACCTACAGAACATAGTGGACTTTAGCAAAAATGTCATGAAGGAGTTCTTTGGGGAAAACTGTGTTCATTCTGGGGTAAGTGATTTTATTTACATGGTCTAAATCCAGGGGCAAATTCCATGTCAGTAATGGTAACATCAGAAAGACATTTTGGAACTTTATGCTCAATAATAATCATTTGAATTAGTTACAGAATTTCCTAGTGCCTTTCCCATTCTGTGCTGTGACAAAGGCAGAGCAAGCTTTATTTTACTCATCTTCTAAGGACAAGACTTGAGGCCCAGACACTCTTTGTTGAACCCCTGCTCCCTTGGAGCTGCTTTGTAGGCCTTTCAGGGATAATCTGGATAGTGTGGCATTTTCTTGTGGACACCTTCGTCTGACAGCTTGGAGAGAAAAATGAGTTTCACATAGAATGGGAGGTGAAAATTAACCTTGTCAGATGAATGTGCTAGTGACTTTTGTGGGACTCACAGCCTCTCTTTACCTCTCTAATTTCCACCCATTTCTCCTAGCTCACAATCTGACAAGAGGGCTCCTTTGGGTCTCCAGTAGCTGAGAGAAGCATGTTCAAGGCGAGGGTCATTGTTAGGACATATAGGCAAAGGACACCGCTAAAGAAGCCACCTCATAGTTCCTTTCAAAGGATGTGGCTTTAGTAACTGCTTCTATACTTCTGCTGACATGATTGTCAATCTTAGGTCAAACTCCTCACAGAGGAATTGATGTCATTTTGACAGAAGTACTGCCTCTACTATGTAAATGCTGTACATCGGGATGAACCTGAGAAAAACAGAGCTAGAATAAAAGTATCTTTGAATTTATGAATTACCAGACAGTGTAATATTTAAATAGCTCTGGCAGCATAATAGTCTCCCAGAAAGATTGCACAGCTTGAAGATGATGAGCAGGCACAGCCCAGCTGATGGCAGCACCCTGTTGCCATACCACTGTGGCACTGAAGTGACGTGACTGAGAATTTCTCTGCAGTGCCATCCTGCACCTGTGTCACGGCCACAGTTCTTTCCAGGACTGTGGAGTCAGTAGGCTATTTCCATAGAAGCCTTTTTTTCCTGTGAAAATTACCAGGGTCATTCAGCCATCCTGCAACGCTCTTTTCTGCCACAGTGCATAGACACACTCCCCTCTTAGTCTAGTCTGTTCACTGTACCCTGGAAATGCTAAAAGATGCCTGGAGGGCTGGCGGCCCAAGTTCCTTTAAAGAGCTCAGTCCCTGGACAGTGTTTTCTGAGTGCTACGTGCCCATTTCTTCATTTTCAAGCTCTTCTCAGAGTTGTCATCCCCTGGGACCTGTGTTTTTCTCTTTTGTAACAGACAAAGGTTTCCTAGACCCTCTACTCAGAGTGGAAGGAGGAGTTAGCCAGTTTACACAGGTGAAACGGCAGCTGGAGACGGGAAACTGGGTAAAATGGCCTATCTGATGAGTTCTATGAGGGATAGGGAAGGGACATTGGTGTCAAGAGTGCCACTAGCAGTGGCTAAGCACAGATTTCTTTTAGCCCAATCTAGTCCTATTTGTTTTTGGAAAAGAGAAGGATCAGAATAAATGAAGAGAGGCTAAACTATGTCTTGAGAATGTACCCAGAAAGCCTGTGTAAGCAGTTCATGGGACAATGGGCTCTGTTGACGACAACTGCCAGAATAAAACAGCCTGCTTTCTCTAGAAGGACATTTTATTTTTGGGTGGTTCGTGACTGGAGTTTTAAGTGATTGAAATGCAGGGTATAGGGTGTATTTTTAGATGAGTTGTACAATATACACAGTAGAGTCCTTCAGTGTCAGGTTCCTTAACATATTATACTGGAGTATATTTTGACCAACTTATTGTCAGTGAGTCAAAATTGATTTCCTGGGTGACCCTCCATATTGAACCATCATTTGGGAAAAGATTGCCTATCTTTCTCCCTCAGAGGATCTGGTGGCTTCAAAATGCCTGAGAGCTGCAGCCTCTGTGTGAGCAGGCGACTCCCTCCAGACAAAACTTCCCTTTGGGCTAGACAGGGCAAAGCAGAGCCTCTTGAAAACACTTCTTTCCCATGTGTTTGAAAACTCTCTGTCTGGGGGGCAAGATACAACCAGTCCCTGTGATGATGAGAATCCTAGAGCTGGACTGCTCTGGGCTCGACTTCAACCAGTAAGCACATGTACAGGAGTGTAGCCTCAATGTGGAGGGCCTCACAGTCCTGTGCTAAGATTCACAATGTAGGCCTCACTTTTACACAAGAGTTTCTCATGATCTGGGTACTGCTTTATCTTGAAATCTTGTCTTCCTCTTCATTTAGCATTTCTGTAACTATACTTCTCATTCCCTCTTTTTGCTTATCTTATCTTCCTCTTTATTTAGCATTTCTGTAAGTATACTTCTCGTTCCCTCTTGTAGTTACCTTAATTTATGGATTCATACCTATGAGTCTCTATTTTTTCATCTCATTATTATACTTTTATTTCCTTGTTTATCATACTTTGTATATTTTTATGTCTGAGTCACTTCCTGAAAGAGGTTATCATATATTTTGATTTGGAGTTGTGTACTCCAAATGGTGTTAGCCCAAAAGTTGACGTTTTTATGTCATTTAGCCTCTGGTCTCCAGCTACCTTAACTGCAGGCACATAGTCTTGCAAATCTGCATCAGCTGTGGGACTAGAATACATTGAAGAGTGCTTCCCACACTGAGCAGCAGGACTTGAAGAGAGCAAGACTTGTGGTGGCAAGATCCTGATGAGAGTGAGACCTGGTGGTGGAGAAACTGGCATTGCTGTGGACAGAGGGTGGTGAGGTGTGACCTGAGGTTTCTTGCATTTGTGCTGGCCACAGTTAAAGGTTTGGCTGTTCTTGTCAGATGCTTGAAGGAAAAGCTGACTTAAAATTTGCTGGATACTTGTTTGCTTAGATGATTTGGATTTGACTGTTGAACTGAACCTGGAGCCCTGGACCAATTGAGAAATCATACCTTAGAACTGCTTGGCTAAAACTTGGATTTGTTTAATATTCTTTGCCTCTCTCACTCTCCAGCTACTTTCCCTAATAAACTCCATTGTTGATACCATAACTGTAAATCTGTGAGACAGCAATGAATAGAAGAACCTCTTAATGTTGATGTGGCTCTATAGGAACCATGGGGCAGGGCTACGAACTCTTTTATCTGCTTTCTGTTCTGGTGCAGTGAGAGGCTGTGTTACTCTCTTTCCCTTTTGCCTTTTCAGAGAGACGCTCCTGGCCCTGTGCAACCATGTACAGTTTCCTCCTCTTTAGACATCTACTGTTGTAGTCTCTTGATTTGAAGAACTCTGTTTAGTGAATCTTGTAAAATTGCTCTAATTTTCTTAAGTTCCCTTCATTGCTTTTTACCTAAAACGTCCTAATTTCACCATCATATTTGAGGGATTATTTTTCTGGGTGTTTTACCTACAGTATCCATTGCCTATTTTCTGCTGAGAAATGAGAGCTTAGTCTTATTGACTCACCTTTGTAAGTAACACTTTGTTTTTCCCAAGCTTTTCTTAGTATTCTTTGCCTTTAATTTTGGAAAATTTGGTTCTCTCTCTTAGAAGTTTGTTTTTTGTTGTGTGTTTTTTTGTTTGTTTGTTTTAATTTGTTCTATCTGGGATTTACTAATTTTCTTGAATGCATGTTTTCTCATTTATCAAAATATTTGGGAAGGTTTCTTCTAGCAAATCTTCAATAATTTCGTCTGACGGGTTTGTTGGGTTTTTTTCTCATTACTGTTTTTGGAATCCCAGTCACATATACTATTCCTCTTGATACTGCTCTATATAATTCTTATATGTTCTTTATTTTCTTTTCTTCCTTGTGTCCTTCCAGCACATTATTGTTGTTACATGCCATTGAGCCAGAATCAACTCAGAGCTGACCCTCCAGCAAGTTTTCAGAGGTTGTAAATTGCATGGGTGGAGATGGCCTTTCTCCTGTGGAGGAGCTGGTGGATTGAAATTGTGTGCCTTTGTGTTTATAGGAAGACTTCTTACCATTTGGCCCCAGCTTATCACTATCTCAGTGTCCCATTTCATCATTTCTGCTGTTTTGTTCTTGTAGTATGTCACCTATTTTTTTTTTAAGGTTCAAATCTTTTCTTCATAGAGTCTCTATGAGGGATAGCTGACTTGATGGCACATAACAAAGGTTTTGTGGTTTTGTGCTTTTTTAAAAATTAATTTTAATGAAAATTTACAGAGACTTTGGATTTCTGTTCATTCATTGTTGCACCTTTCTCCCTGCCTACCCTTCCCCACCAGTTTGCTCTTCTCTTTGAAAAGTAAAAGAAAAATTCTCTCATTGTTATACAGCCCCTCCCTACAAGTCCACTCCACTATCCTTTCATTACAGTAATACCTAATCATATATCCCTTTTAAACAGGTCTCTCCCTAATATGTTTCAATGAAATACACATAATTTATCCCATCTTTCTCAGTCTTCCCTCAACCCCAATGTCAGTCTCGTTTTACAACAGTGGCCCTATGCAGTATTTGTCCTTTTGTGACTGAGATATTTCACTCAGCATAATGTCCTCCAGGGTCACCCATTTTGAATACTATTTCATGAGTTCCTTATTTTTCAATACAGCATGGTATTCTATTGTGTGACTATACCAGAGCTTCTCTATCCATTCGTTTGTTGATGGGCACTTAGGTTGTTTCCAACTCTTTACTATTGTGAAAAAAGCCACGATAAACATGGGTGTGCATATATCTGCTTGGGTGATGGTTATGGTTTCCCAGTAGTGGAATTGCTGGGTCAAGTGCTATTTCTATTTGCAACTTTTTGGAAAAAAACGCCATACAGCCTTCCATAGTGGTTGCACCATTTTACACCCCCGCCAGCACAGAATAAGGGTGCTAGTTTCTGCACAACTTCGCCTGCATTTGTTTTTTGCTATTCTTACTGGGCTGTGATGATATCTCATAGTTGTTTTGATTTGCATCTCTCTAAGAGCTAGGGATTTTAAACATTTCTTCATGTGTTTGTTTGCCATCTGAGTGTCTTCTTTGGTGAAGTGTCTATTCATATCCTGTGCCCATTTTTCAAATGGGTTAT